CTCCTCAGAGAGGACACTTCCTGTGGAGGAGAGAGACAGTCAGTCCTGTGCTCAAGGAGACACTGCGTGAAGTTTCCTCTGCTTATGTCTCTCAGACTGAGAAGACAGGATGTGTGGGGTTAGAGTAGCTAATGCTCATGCCCAGGCAAGCTGACTGACACTCATATTGTCCACATCCTCTTTCTCCCTATTGGCTGGTTTCTCTCTCACCCTCAGGGCTTTACAGCAATGCAGCTATGAGGCCCTCATGTGGTTTCTGAGCTCTAATCACAGTTTTAAATGAAAAATCAGCAGGAAGGACACAGATACACATACTGATACACACACACACACACAAACACGCACATGTCGGGTATACCTATCCTTATGGGGATCGGTCATTCACTTCTATAGCAAAAATGTTAACGCTAACTATGACAACCTTAACCCCCATCCAGCTCTAACCATAAAATAAATATCTTTAATCACCAGAAATTCACTGTTCACCAACTTCCCACTTTTACCTATATGTGTGGCCAAGTGACTGAAAAAATTTGTTCGGTTAAGTCTGTTAAGGTTGAGAAGATGAACTCACCCTTGCGAGGGGCTCTGTAGGTCTCCCCCCGGGTCAGATTGTACTCTATCTCCTCATAAATGGCCTCGTGCAGAGGGGTGAGACCCTCCTGGTACAGAGCTGTGGAGGTGGACATACAGAGACACAGCTGACAGTCCAGGCTACATTTCTCACTTTAATCTAAAGCCCCCATTTCCCATAAATCTGTGTATTATTATGGCTTATTAAATAATCATGGGAACAACAGTGTCCTTTGCTGTTGTATATGAAGTCTCTCCGTATTTGTCAGCAGTTGAGTAGCTTTTTGTTTCATTTTGTGTAGTTTTATCTCAATCCCACCCTATCATCAAATAGGCTTATTCCCTGTATCACATGACCACTGACCTCCGTCTGTCTACCACTGAAGCCAACAATGGAAAATGTAGGAAATAATATAGACTTAATATGACCCGTGCAGATATACCATTCTTAATGTGAGTCACCCTACAGCTCTATCCTTCTGTACCTCTCTTCAGCACTTTATTCTGGTACAACTGGACAGCTGTTATCACCAGCAGCAAGAAGAGAAGAGCTCCCAGTACCAGGAAGACCACAAAAGGAATGGATGGGTCTTTTTGGGAGGGTACAACTGGAGAAGGAACTAACAGAAAGACTTCAGCATAAAATGTGTCTAACAGTGCAGAATGATTGTACTAAATAAACATGGAAAAACATTTTATCTGCATCATTTTCAAAATAAAATAGCTGGAAATGAACAACAGTGGCTAGCTCTGGCATATTTTATTTAATAAAATACAAAACATCCATCTCCTAGCCTCTTATCGTGGTCACAGTTGTAAAGCTACACAAACATGTGATATTGAAATTACTCCCCTAAAAGAACTTAAAGAAAAAATATAAAATATAATATAATATAACATACTGTATTATATATCAGACTATGAAAATTATACCTTTTTTTGTTGTTGTGGATGTTGCTGGAATGCCTGAATGAGAAAAAGATATAGATATATAAACAGAATTAATCCTACATTGGATATATTTCTCAACACTATACAATTCATCAACTTCACCTGTAGTGGCCTTAAGCAGCGATGAACCTGTGAAATCGAAGCGTTAAAGGTTATTAATAAACATTGAAAAGGTTTCACTTTTTTATTTTGGTTATTCTAAAGGCAAATGGCCATAATGTTGAGGTTACAGTCTGGCTGCAGCCCCAGTCCCACCTGCACAGGTAACACCAGCATCCTCCTTGTGGCTGCAGCTCCTCTGCTCCTGAAGAGAGTGAGGACAGTCCCACAGGTGGAGCTCATCACCCCTGCAGTTCACC